ATATATAATGTATGTAGCCTCTTGTGAAACCTTTGGAGTTTGGACTATGGAGTTTGGACTCTTGGACTTGGAGCCTTGGAGAGTTGGACTTTTGGAGACTTGGAGTTGGGAGAACATGGAGTGACGTTAAATATTTTTGGCGTTTTATAAATCATAGCCTCCATAAATTGAACAAATACTAGAATTACCAGCTCAGCCAAAAGCCCGCCAAAACAATTTATAGTGATTTTGTGAATCCCGCCAGAAGCACAAGACTCCCACTAATAGCCAATCAAATGTCAGTGGCCTTTTGCTATGTTTTTTTTTTGGTAAGCATATCGTTGTTACCTGTAGACTGTAGTGATAGACTGTAATAGACGGTAGAACATCGCGTACAATAGTTACGTGTATTTACTATGGAGACTAATGTAGTAGTATTTCTAATAGAATATTATAAAGATATAGACCATAAAAAATACAATAAGATAAGATAACACCTTCATTCGTATGACATACACAAGCGGATGCGACTAAACTGTGGTTTATAGTGGATATTCAGGTAGATTTATCTTGTATCCGAGGTTGCATGCGTTTTCACATTATTCCAACCTAATATCGCGTTAGTGGAGATTACACATAGTTATATATACTAGCACCATGTCGACCAAAGAATCACGGGCGAGAGCCTTGGAGCGAATTAAAGCCGCCAAAGAGGGACGTGCGGTTCAGATGGAGGTAAGTCACCCATACTGATTAATATTAGTGTTCTAATCAGGGGTCTTTTATCTTGTGTTTATTTCGTACACGATGACTTGGTGTGCGGCATTCCTCTTCATTTGACAAACCGATAAGGTTAAAACTTCCATGAAACCAAAAGACACGTCTATGTATACTGCAATAAGCTACACATACTACTCTCATATTCTTAGTTTTGAAAGATGTGTTTTGTTTTTCTGTGCGTGTGCGTTTGGTCGTGTTCTAAATTGAGAAAAGCTGAGTACGAGGTAAGTACATCCACTCAACACCCCACAATAGGCACTTCTTCCGTTATTGTTATAACAACCAAATTGAGTCATTGTATACACGCTTCATACAGATTTGATCTTTCATGCGGTTTGTTCATTCTAATTTTGAGAGTCTACACGGGCAGAAGCACGCAGCAGATATGTCGCATGTAATCTTTAACGTACCATTGCCAATGTTTCATGGTGTATGTCTAGATATACATATATCAGTCAATTCGCTCAGGTGCCCCAGTGTCATTCCAACTTTGACACTTGTTGCTCTTTAAGTGGCAGGACAAGCTGCTTACGTAAACAGAAAGTCACATATACGCACAGTCGACCGGTATGGTTATATATTTGCCTGTAAAATAGGAGCTCGGGCGAACACCCATTCATGTACATACATGATCACAATATGATTATTGTACAGCTGAGTGACAGCGAAGAGGATATCATAGAGGATGTCTCTGAGGATGAGTACGACCGCCGCAAGAAAGCCAGTGTACTGGACGATTTTGTGGTGGATGACGGTATGTGTGATATTGTTAGGATAAGTGCATACATCCAGATATGTTATATACGTCGATATTCAGGTGTGAACTTCCAAGATTATAGCATGTTGTTTATGGATGCTAGTTTATGCAAGGTATGTGCTCACACATGCACGTGAAGGTTCATGTAAAGTTGTTTCTTAAAGGTCCCAGGTACATATGTGCATCTATTAAGTATTTTGTTGTTGCATGATATTGTGTCGCTTGTGGTTCGTAGTTCAATCGAGTGCAATGTGTGAGGGTTTGTTCATGTATTTTGATCAGTTCTTTTATGGTCATCAAAAGCTCATAGTTTGATGTCGGTATGATCAAATTCAATTTCGACATAAAAATGTAGTAAAGGTCTAACTCTACGCTACAACTACTTTATGGTAAATTATTCAAGCATAGCGTAGCGTGCTTTGTCAAAAAATGCGTGCACAATCCCGCTAAAATGATAAGTTGATGTGGACCATGTAACAACGGTTGAAGAGGTTTAAGCTTCATTCGAAACCTGATCGTTTTGGGCGATACGTTTCTTTGTGTGTGTATCCATATACTCGTCGGCGGGATTTTTTTTTGCCTTGGTGTGTGGCAATGTGAGCGGCGACGAGGTACGTATAGTTTTACTAAGTTTTTTTTAGTTATATACTATCATGCTTGATAAGTGTCAATAAATCTACAACATTCGATATTCTCAACGCGGTGAAACGAGGGGTAGATAGATTAGGTTGGTTTATCCACGATTGCTACGGCATATATTCATAAATGGTTTTATGTATGTTTTTTTGTATGTGTTCCTGTATAATGTATATCATGTATGTACATGTGTACATACATCATAACCGTAATATATAATACACATGTAACCCGTATATCATAAAAGCACACATCTGGAGACTATACATGCAGCTATCGGTTTAGCTATTATATGTCAAATTACACTTTATACGAACTATTCTAGCCTCTGTTATTCGACAGAGGCGGCTATTGTAGAAGGAAAGGCACCAGCAGCAACTCTCTTTAAAATAGGGTTTCTAGAAGCAAATCTCTTCGATATCGGATAAGCTATCTTCTGCATATGGCTCACATATGTGTATACCTACCAGTCGGTCATACTCACTATTTTAAAATTGACTCATTTTGATTGGTCCCCACCATGCTATCAGATGGTCGTGGGTATGCTGAGGATGGACGTGACTGGTGGGAACACGACGATGATGTAGGCAGTCAGACAGACAGCGATGAGGATGCGAAGCGGAGTAAGACAGGTATGTGCAAAGATGTATTGAGTGAAGATGGAAGATAGTATGGTTTGGCACTGATATGTGATGGTGAAGAGTACTTATGACATGTTGGCGAGTGGTTATGCTTTATAGGAAAGAAAGGGTACGTATCACTGGCTGTAATGGTATGGTGTACAGCTAGCACGGTAGTCGAGCGAGTCACAGATATATTGTTGTATTTTTGTGTAGCAATTTGCCGCTTACGAGAAATGGGTTTGCCGTCGGAGCTTATTCTTTACTTTTTACGTGGAAGTTCAGCCACGGAGTTGAAGGGAGGACAAAGAATAGCAGCAACAACGTTTTCTTTATATTTATGTACGCAAGATCTTAATTTACTTTTCATTCTTTACCCCAACTTGACCCACAGATAAGCGGAAGAACAGAAAGGATAAGAAGGAAAAGAAGAAGAAAGACCCCAATCAAAGATCTATTAATAAACTCTTCTCGGCGATGGGTGCCAAGGCCGCCAAAACCGCGGCTGCCACTCCAGCAGTAGATACTGTGGCGGTACCTTCGGATGACTTTTTGTCTGGGTTGCTTTCCGATCTGAATGAGGTGTGTATCTATGTGTATGTTGTATATAGAAACATGCTGTATATAAGGGAATGTTGTATATAGGTGTATGTTGTATATAAGTGTATGCTGTATAAAAGTGTATGTTGCAAATAAGTGTATGTTGTATATAAGTGTATGTTGTATATAAGTGTATGTTTTAACGCTGTGTATGTTGTAAATAAGTTTCTGTTGTATATAAGTGATATTTTATATAAGTGTATCTTGTGAATAAGTGTATGTTGTGAATAAGTGCATGTTGTATAAGATGTTGGACATAAGTGTATGTTGTATATAAGCGAATGTTGTATACAAGTATATTTTGTAATAGGTGTATTTTGGATATAAGTGTATGTTGTATATAAGTGCATGTTGTATATAAGTACGTGTTGTATATGGGTGCATGCTTGGTAGGATTCGTATGTCTAATTGTTCGTACACTAGATGTGAACACCTGGCATATGCCTTTCGAAGTGTTCTTTCTAATTATACGAGTATGTGTTGTGCTTGAGTTCGTACCTGGGGAGGATCTGTAAACGTATAGGTATGCATACTATATAGGGACACATGGCGGTGTGTATATTGTTCTCTATTTCTGATTTATGGGGTGTGTACACAGGTATTTGTTCTGCGTATAGCTGCGCCTGTAAAGCAAGGTACGTACACACATATGCGTTATGTATTTGGTCAATTGGTGTGTGTACGTCGTGATCTGCTTTTCGATCTGGAGGGTTTGGGGCTTTCAAGACATGTGTCGTATGTACATAGATGCCCGAGTGAACTCGTATGATAATTTGTGGGCATTTGTTCGCAGTTCCAATCAGTGTATAGTGTTCATACATAGAGTGCTCTACTTTCTGACAACAACGAGATATGTATGTGTCTATTGTCATATTAGGATCCTCTGGCGAAGAAGGCGGGCCGATACGCACACCGCAACAAATCCAGTGGCAAGAAAACTGCGGCCGACATCGCTCTGATGGGCAGCACCTCTGCAGCAAACGAGCTCTACGACAAACCTGTATGCGCAATTGTTTGAGTGTATGGAACTGTGCGTATGGACTACTTGAACCAACTCTATGGGAACTTCGTAGGGGTGTGAATGATGTGAGTATAGGAATCAGCGTGCGTGCAACAACTGTACGAACTATCTTATGTGATGTTGTGTCAAATTGCTTGCGATTGACAATGACCGAAGTCGGTCAAGTGGGGCTATAAGTGCGGCGCGTGCAAAAAGGCAGGTGTGTATTGGATGTTTATTCGAGAGCGCGTGTACTTGTATGTACACAAGATTCGAATCATAACGATACCCGTGCTTCAATTTGCTCATAGCACAGGTCTCGGGTCAATGGTGTACGGATGCCTAGTTCATGTAACAAATTGGATCAACACACACAGGGTCCAACATTAAAATTGCACTGTAAAAATTTCTGCAAACAAAAAAGACAAACCTGTTCCGGTCCTATCCGAGAAAGTCATTCCACGGTTACCTACTCCAACTATCACATAGGCACAGACGAATGAAGCCATCAATTTGTCTGCTGATCACGGGTCTGACGATGAAGAAGAGCTCACAAGCCGATACCAAAAACGAATGGAAGCCATTCGGGAGAAGCGAGAGAGAGATGCCAGTGCGCGTGCGAAGGCCGAGGTGACAGCCCCGACAGCAGTGAAGGCGGAAGAAATGCTTCAAGGTATGGCAAGACTTGAGTTATATTCGAGCATTGATAAGTGTATGGTCAAACATGTAAAAAATAGTTTGATGAAGGGTCTGGAAACCATATTTTGAGATGCAAGTACACATGCCAAGGCTGACTTTAGAGCCAAGGCAGCAGTGAGTACGAAATATATTTTCTCATGCACTGTAAGCAATTGTCGACAAACACACCTGTCTTAGGGTATACACATATGTTAGTTAGTATATCCTGAAGGTGTCAATGCTTGTGTCGGTTTTTGTATCCTCATACGCAGTGCCACACTCTCATTCACCGCAATACTTAGTGTTACACGAGGGCTTACTTACGCATGTCAAAACTCGCTCTCGCGGACTTCCGCTTCAATCGGTCTGTACATACCCGCACTGGTGGTTGTGTCCAGCAAGCTACACACCCAATGCATCACGTGAAGTCTACACACACACACACACACACACAC